CTGACCTAGAAGCCACAATGCAGGGTAACTGTGTGAGGCCACAATAAGCAAGGACACCTTTAGGGGCTTGGACAGATACCAGCCGTGGTGAATTCTGGGTAGGGAAAGGTGTCTTCTAATGAGGAAGTAGCTTTGTTCCTTTTCTGCCATTGTGACTTAAAAACACCCTGACAAAAGTAACTTGGTCATATGACATCCATCGGGAAGAAGAGACAAGTGCCTGCCAGTGTTTGGCTTCCTTTCTCCAGTCTTAATACGGTCCTGGATCACCTGCCAGGGGAATGGTGTCACCCATCGTGGGCACGCTTCCTATCTTAATATATTCCAGACAGTCGTCATCATCCCCCCCCCCCCATGTCCACAGGCCAACCTGATCACCATCCCACATTGGAACCCCTCACCCTGATGATTATCTAGATCCTGTCAAGGTGACATCTAAAACTAGTCATCACAGGGGTAGGGGAGGGTGACTCAGAAGAGAAAACAGATATGTTTGACCTAGGACCTGAACCACACTAAGCCAGAGGTGCAAAGAAAACTCTTCAGGGTGAACAGGGTGGGTGGGGAGGGGAGGCAGCCTCTGCCTAGCTGGGGGGGGCAGGGTGGGAGGGACAAGGGCGTGGCAGTCGGGAAGGGGTCAGAGGGAGCAAGGGTGGGCTGTGGGTGGGGAGCTCCACAGAAGCTGCTGCGGAGCCAGGCAGCCTGGGCCTCTTGCATTAAACCTCTGTGGCATGCCGCTCTCACTACCCCATTCCCTTTGCCCGCCCCTCCCCTGTGAGGGGCTCCAGGTACTGGGGGCGGGGCAGGTGAATGGCAAGGTTACCAGGGCTCCCTCCCTCCCCCCTTTCTCCCCGAGAAGCATAAAGAGCTCTTTCTTCTCTGCTTATTAATAGCTCTGATTAAATTATCTCTGGAAAACCTACATGGTGTGCACCAATGGGGGCTCGCTCCCTCCTGGCTGTGGCCTAGATTAGAGCAACCGGGGCAGGTGAGGCGACTGGGGGGCAGGGTGGGAGGCTGAGGCCGCCTGCTCCCCTGCCAGAATCCAGGCCACCTCAGTCCCAGCCTGTGACCCACTGGGACTCACTCACTCACTGCCAGCTGGAAAGCAGGCGGTGGGGGGGGGGGATGGGCGCTGCATTGGCCACCTTTCTGGCTATTTCTTGCTCCTGCCCACTGCTCACAGTGGGCTGTCAGTGTGTGTCCTACACCACCTGCCCAGCACTGGGGCAGCACCTGCTGGGGGCAATCTCTCCCCGGTACCCTGCATCAACCCTCTTAGCTGCCTTCTCAAGGACCACAGCAAACCTAAGTTCCACAGAGCCCATGTCTCCATCTGTCACTGCAGAACCTAGGGTCCTGCACAGGACAGCTGTTAGAGCACGCTGGATATATGGGCAACTAGCGACAGAAATGGGACAACCAGGCTTCTGTAGTGAGAGCAGGACTAACCTCCCATGTGGGGCCATGGATCTCCTTCTGAGGGAGGAAACTGAGGCACAGAGGAATGGGATCACATGGAGGTACACCCCCACCAGTTGTTTCCATGCCGCCTTCATGTTCGTCCTCTACAAGATAAGAAAACAGAGCCCCTGTAGTCCCAGCCATTGGGGAGAGTGGAGAGGTAGAGACAAGCAAATCTTCGTGAGTTCGAGGGTAGCCTGGTCTGCTTAAGGAGTTCCAGGCCTGCTGGGATACCTAGTGAGACTGTCTCTGAGAGAGAGGGGGGAAGGGGGCTCACTTGTACAGTCCCAGCACTTAGGAGGCCTGAGGCCGAAGGCCTTCCCTAAGGCCGGGTTGGGCTCCATAGCAAAACTCCATTTGAAAGAAAAATATCTGGGCCACCTCGTTCGTAAATTGGAAGATGAATTCAACACACCTTTCTTGAGCACCACCTGTTTGGAGACCGGTGCTAGGGAGCCCTGGGGAGCTCCAAGTTTAGGGAAACAGACGAATAGCAGACTACATGTATCAGGAAGTCGGAAGACCTTTCTCCCATAGTAGGTGGAAGTCAGGAAGGCTTCCTGGAGGAGGAATCCCATTACCTGCAATCTGAAGGAAGAGCAAGAGTTGGCTGTCAGGGCCCTGGGGTGGAAGAGGCACCCCTGAGGTAGGATATACATGTATTTCAACAAGATTGGTGTGTAGGGTCTTACAGGAATGCTGAGGGGGTGAGGTAGCCCCAGACTTCCCTGTAGTCAGTGTTCAAGGGCTGGCCTGCCGGGGGGTCCTGGTGACTGTAGCAAAGGAATTGTAATGGTGTTTCCAATCACATCATGTTATTATTGGATACCACTTAGAGCAAAGGCCAGAACTATGACCTCACCAAGGTGGGTCTGTGAATGCCTGCTTGTTTGGTTTGTTTGGTTTGTTTTTCGAGACAGGGTTTCTCTGTGTAGCTTTGGTGCCTTTCTTGGAACTCACTCTGTAGACCAGGTGGACCTCGAAGTCATAGAGATCCACTGCCCGGCTTCAGGCTGAGATCTTGCTGGGCCTTCAGCTGCGTGGAAGACACCCCTCTACTAACACTACTGCCCCCCAAAACCCACCGTTAGAGCCTCACAAGCTCCCTGACTTTACAGGCAGGTGGCCCCTTCAGATCTAGTCCCTAGCTGCTCCACTGCACTGTTTGGAGTCACGCCAGACCCTTTGGAAACTACTGACCCGCATCGGGGAGAGGTTGGCAGGAAATGGGCCCAGAAGAGGCAAGAAACACGTTGTCAATCAGTGGCTGGTGAGGGGCTCGATAAACCAGGCGGAGGGCTCTGGTGTTCAGGTTCCAGTTCTGTCATTGGTGACCTTGGGCAAATCCCATGACCCTCTTCCCATGCAAGATGTGGGTAGTAATTTTATACGCACAGGCTAGGTGAGAAGGGGCCACCTCGGTGACCTACACACAGAGAATCCCAGGCTTCGAGGAGGGTGTGCGTACCTTGGCATACTGTCCACCTTCACCCCTCCAGTTCTCTGCTCCTAGACTCTGGCTGCCACTGCCTCCTACCCTGTCCCAGCTTGAATCTGGTCTTCCCACCTGTCCTTGCCCTGGGTTCAGCCATCGAGTCGCCTGGGCAACTCGCCCTGACGTCAGGGCTGCTCTGGCAGTTGGCCCAGAGGGGAAGCAGCTGGCAGCTGATCCTGCTTCCAGGTAAACCTCCACCCCCACCAGCACTCAGGGAGCAGGGAGAGGGAGGGGAGGAAGGACAGCAGCCACTGAGAACTAGAACGAGTAGGGAGGCCTGGAGCTGCTGAGAGCCTGGCTCACAGTGCTGCCCTGAGACCCGAAACAGGGCCAGCTTCTGCCCTAGATAAGGAATGGGTGGCCTACTTGGGCCTGCCCTACAGGTCCCTTGCCAATGCCTCTCCCAGGTTCTGGGAAGGGGTTGGTTGGCTCTGGAAAGTAGGCTAAGGCCTGATTATAATCCTCACAAAACCCTGGACACACTCCCTAGCCCTCCAGAGCGGAGGACCACAGCTAACACGTATTGAACGCCCATGTTCTTCTCTCCTGGCAGTAATTCTCTCACAACAGCCTGATCCAGGGGGAATTAAAATGCCCCGTCTTCTCATTTTACAGACAGGGAACAGATACCGAGCCCTGAAGATAAATGGCCAAGGCCAATGGCAAGCAAGGTTCTGGGGGACCCCAGGCATCATTGAGATAAAGCCTAAGGTGGAGACTGGATGGGTATCTCCAATTCTTTATGTTTCTGCTTGGAAAGTTTGATGTCCACCTTGTTTTGTGACAGACACCTCACAGTGGAGGAGACTGTCTCTCCCGGGATTCAGTTTGTAAAGGAGAATGCTACCTGTGGGCTATCAGGCAAATAAGAATGGAAACAGCTGGGGCTGGAGAGATGGCTCAGCAGCTAAGAGCACTGACTGTTCTTCCAGAGGACCTGAGTTCAATTCCCAGCACCCACATGGCAGCTAACAAGTGTCTGTAACTCCAAGATCTGACACCTTTACACAGACACACATGCAGGCAAAATTCCAACACACATAAAACAAAAATAAATAAATTAAAAAAATGGAAACAGCTACCATGCCTCAGTTTCCCTATCTGTTAAGCTTCACCAGGCATTGTGGCTTGTGCCTATAGTTCCAGTACTCTGGAAACTGAGATAGGAGGGTTGCTTGAAGCTAGGAATTTGAGACCAGCGTGAATGACATGCTTGAGAGAACATTGGCACCTGCCTCCCAAGGTCACGGCATACATCTGCGGGATGTCACTTACAAAGAACTCAGCATGTAGTTTGTGCTTCACAGATCTCAGCGTTGATTCCAGAACTCCACCACCATCCTCAAACGCTCCGTGGAACAAGACATGCAGGGCCCTTCACATCTTACTTTCAGCCGTACACTGAGAACAAGTGCCAAACTGTAATATGTAGGTCCTAATACTGATCTCACAGTTTTGAAGACTACGTATAGTAGTATAGTATGCACTTTGTCATGTGGTTAGGGTGCTCTGTGTGTGTAGGGGGGTAAGGAGGGAGGGAGGGAGAGAGAGACTGGGCTCTGTACATTTGTACCTTTACCATTTAGCTACACTCCAACCTTTTTATTATCTTAGCACGGTGCCTACCCTCAAATAGGCACTCAGTAAATAATACTTTTTTCAAATTCTAAGTTTTTAACAAAGGGACTACAACTACCAACATGCCCTGCGCTCCCAGCCGGGGCCCCTTCGCCGGGTTTAGGCACGCAGCATGCCGGGAGTTGAAGTCCTCTAGGAGCCGACCCCGCCTCATCCCAGCTTGGGGAAAAGAGGTTGGAGAGCCGCCCTGCCGGCCTTTGAATTTTGCCGCGAAAAGCGCGCGTGGCAGCCCCCGTCCCCGCCTCGCGGAGGACGCGGCTCCGCGTCACCGTGGTAACCGCCTCTCGGCTGCTGCTGATTGGGCAGTGACGCGGGGGGCGGGCTGGGGGCGAGACGCCGCGGAGGCAGCGGGCACTCGCGCCTGTCAGTCGCGCCGGAGCGGAGCAGCGGACAGCATTGCTGGGCCGGCAGCTCGGCGAGAGGCTGCGCGCGCCGGCCAGGCCAGGCCGAGAGCCGGGCCCGAGGCTAGGCGAGGGTGCCGGGCGGTGCGAGGCTACGGTCCCGGGAGCTCCGGGGTCACGGGTGCGGGAGAGACCGGCGCACTGCCTTTGCTGCAGCGCTCGAGCCCCACGCCGGGTGCTCGTCTCTCCATTCTCGAGTCTGCCCTGCGCCTGCCGGATTCGCAGGTCCTCAGCGCCAAGGCCCGCGAGGCTGCATCCCAGCCTCTGCCGCTCGCTGCGGCTGCCACTGCCGCTGATCGCCGGCTTCCCCTCCCCCCACACCCGGGGCTCGGAGCAGGAGGAGGAGGGGCCGGTGCGTTCTCGGCTCTGCTCTCTGCAACCTGCGGGGGCCGGTGCATGCCGGGCTAGGAGCCGGGGCCGCTGCAGGTGCGTGCAATCCTCCGAGGAGACGGACTCTTCACCCCCGGGCAAACCCGGGAGCTGCAAGCAGAGGGCGGGCGGGCAAGCGAGAGGAAGCAACAAAGACAGGCTGCAGCTGGGGCTGGCGAGAGGGGCTGCGGCCGCCGGCCTCCCAGCGCGGACGGAGAGGGCGCCCTGGGAGAGGCGCGGGCAGAGCTACCGCGGTGAGCCGGGCCCCGAAGGGAGTCGCAGCGCCTCCCGCCGGATGCATGGAGGACAGTCTCCGGCGAGGATGCACCGCCTGAGCGCGCGAGCGGCTGGGGACCCGAGCGGACGCGACCGGTGCTGAGCAGAGTAACCCCCTTCCCCGACTTCGGACAGTGCTTTCGGGCATAGGAATCGCCATCACCTACAGCTCCCTTTCCCACCCGAGGAAAAGCATCGGCCCCCAAGGGGGGCCTTCCTCGGGCAATCTTTATCACCCCTGCATGGCCGCGATGCGCAGATTGGAGCGTCGTGGCCTCTGAGACTTGGTGCCCTTCGCCTGCCTGGCTGACACAGTGAGTTGCGGGACACGGGATTTTGGATTTGAGCTGGGGATAGCCACTGGCAACCGGGCAATCTGTACTGGCCCCCAAGGGGCCCTGGGCTATTGAGGGCCCAGAGGCAGCTATGCAGAAATCTGCCCCTGTTCTGTCCACATAACTTGTTTGGACTGGCTAAAGTGAAGGGTGGGGACCCCTGGTGGGTATTCTGCTGGGCTTCGGCAGATGCCTGAGAGGAAAGGTCACCCCACCCATGAAGCTAACAAAGGTAGTGGCTCTACCCTCAGGAAATTCCCGGGGAACTCTTGTAGTTTTGTAGGGGTTGCTTGGGGTCGTCCAGGATGGGCCAGCATGTAGGGTCTACAAGATCCTGAAGAGCCAGAGGTCGTGGCGTCCCAAAACTTATGTCTGAGGATCGTGTCCTCTGAGGCAAGACATTTGTGTCTCTATTGTTAACAAATAACTCACAAAGACAGCATGTTCCCAGCGGGCTGCGTGTGACATCACTGCTGACCTCTGATGTCAGAGGATTGTGGTGACAACGAAACTAGCCTTGACCCAGAGCCAGAATGGCCAGAGCTGGTTGTCCTCGGGTAGTAGAAGGCGAAGGCCAACTCCTTCCGTCCTTCCCACTGCAATCTTATGACCTAAATCCCCAGTCACCACCTGAGGTGGGGGAGGGAGGCAGTGCCAGCTGTCCCCGCTGATGCTTCCTGCCCATGAGGACAGGTGTTCCGGACTCTGCCCCATAACTCCCAGACATGCAGCCTCCCACTTGTAAGCAGAATGCTCAAAAGGAGGCCTTGGTGAACCCCATGGTGTTCCCAGCCAGCAGCCAAAGTTCCCAGGGTCCCCAGAGAAAAGCATGCTTCAGCCTTCGGGGCAGACTGCTTCTCTTTAAAATGGGAATGCTCTGCCCGGAGTCAGAAAGAGAGGAGCTGGGACCCTTCTGTTCCATGTGTCTGCTTGTCTGTCTGTGCGTCTGTCCAGGGAACCCCCTGCTGTTCACAACCCCAAGGTGAGGGGGCTTTGGCCCAGCTGGGACTCCCGCCTAAGCCGTCTCCTTCCGGTGTTTAAGATGATTTTGACAAGCAGTGTGATGGCTGCCTCCTAAGCAAATGCAGGGCAAGTCGGAGCCAAGGTCTGGATATGTCCAACTCTGCTGGGGCCAGAGGGCATGGGTGGGGAAGACAAGAGCCCCCAGTCCCCACCACATGCCAACAGCAGCCCTGTACAGTGCGGAGAACTCCTAGGCCAAGTCCCAGTGACTCATCTATGCCTGTCCCAGCAATGACAGCCAGGGTCAGATATGGGTACGGTAGCTACGGTCAAATCCTAGGAATGGTGGGAGGACCCGGTGTCATTGCTCCCTCAGTGAGGGGACAGGTGAGAGCCAAGAAGAGTGAGGGGCATTCTGAGAAGCCAGGACTGGTCTCTCGGTACAGACAACACCTCCCATCCTCCTTCCAGGATCTTCTAGTGACAGGTCAATAAATACCAGGGAGGCTGCTTTGGGGACTCGGTGGGGCGATGGTATTTCCAGCTGAAACAGTTTCCTTAAACACAAGCTTCCGAGGACAGTGCTGCTGCAACAGCAGATTGGGGGGGGGCAGGGGAGGCTGTGGGTACGGCCTCTCGACACTTCCCAGTTTAGAAACAAACTTGGAGTGCGCGCCAGAGACACACACAGGCGGTTGGAGGCCCTCTGTGGAGTATTTACACTCCCTCAGCCAAGGCGGAGGGAAAGGCTGTCAGAGTTGGGCAGCTCCTTCTGTTCCTTTCCCTCGGCTCCCTGGGCTTGGCAGTGAGTGCCAGACGACAAGCAGGGGAATGCCAGTTTACCCAGCGTCTTCCTGAGTGCCAGGCGTTTTGCAGCATCTCAGCTGCTGCTTGGAGTGTCTTGTGCTGTGACCCATTTCTCGGATGAGAAACCTAAGGCTCGAGCCAAGGAAGCGATGGTCTTTTTGTAGGTGTTCAGCCAGGCGGCTGCAGAGGGTTGGCCTCAGTGACCCAGGCTTTAGAATCTTCAGGACCTCCCTAACCTCACACTCAGGCACAAGGGGAGGCGCCCTGCCCTCGGATGGGTTCGTGGGTGAAACAAGACAGGTGGAGCCCAGTGGCAACTTCTGCCAGGTCTTGTGATCTCAGCCTGTTGCCTTCCCCTGCTGGGCCCCTTTCTGTAGCCCTGGGAGGAGGAATGTAGCGCATAAAACCCACCTGCCAGAGATAGTCAAGGAGCCAACCTTGGCCCTGTGTGTCATCTGCTTAGAGGGCCATGTGGTGGCCCTGGGCCATCCAGGGACCTCAGCTACCCGGAGCTCCTGGCAGGCTCTGCTGGTGGAAGGCTGGGTTATAGATGGCAACAGGATTTAATGCCTGGAGCTCCTGGCCCAGCAGCAGGTAGGGGCATACCCCAGGAAGATGGCACTTGAGTCTCCAAAGTGGCGAATAGAAGAGCAAGCCTGGAGGTACCAGAGTGGTTCGGAGCAGGGTGGCCTTGAGGTGGCTTGTATCCTGGAGTCTTAAGTGACTAGAGGCAGGTGTGTGAAGGAGCAGCACCCTACAGTCTTTCTAAGTGCTCGGGCAGCGTGCACTTGAGGCTCCCTCCTCACAGTGCCGCAGTTCAACGCCCCGAGCTGTGGAGCCTTACAGCTGCTCTGGACGAGGTATAGGCCCTGCCTGGTTGCTTGATGCCTTTGATAAGAAACCCGAAGCTCCCCAGGGAGGCTTATTGCAGGGTGGCCGACTGTGCAATTGGTTGGGTCTGGGCCTCTGCTTATGTGACTCTGCTGCATGGCTTTTGACTCGCTGAGGCTTGGTGTCCTCATCAATGAAGAGCTACAGGCAGTACCCACTTCCCAGGGGCGTGGTGGGGATTCCTCCAGGGCTCACTGCAGGCCACAGCCTACAGTAAGTGTTCCATAGATGTAGTTTATACCTGCAATGAGCATAATCTCCAGCTGTCCCAGTGACTTGGAACCCAGAGAAGAAGACCCAGCTCTGGGCTGGGGGTCCCCTACCCTTTCAGCACCCCAGCAAGGGGGCCCCCACGTGGTGAGCCCACATGGTGAGCACACGTGGCTCCCATCTGAGTGCCAGGGGCTTTGGGGCCTGGCCAGGGCATCCTCCCCAACCTCCCTCCTGCCCACTCTGCTTTGCCAACCCTCCCCAGTCAGAGGAAGCAGGCAAGCAGCTCGTATTCATGAACCGTAATTCAATCAGGCAGCGACTCCTTGGGGCTGGGTGGGGGTGAGAACGAGGAGGCGCGGACAAAAGGGCCGCTTTATTACCTCCTGCGGGCCGGGAATTGCTGCTCTCCCCCAGCACCGGCCGGAGCCGCCCTTATTGTGTTAACCCATTTGCGTGTCAAGAGCTATTGTGCGCTTTCTCGCCGCCGCCTGTGCGGTGCAGCCGAGGGAGAAGGGCTGCGCTGCCGGCCGGTCACCTCCGCGGGCGCCGCCCGCCGCCCTGATTGGTTGCTAAGCGATTTGCATCCAAGGTAATCACTTTTATCTCAGAAGGATGTCGACTATAATTATAAGCTACTGACATCTTTTGAAATCTGCCTAATGACTATTTTAGTCTGCCCGGGCTGGGGGTGGGGAGAGGGATTCTGCGAAGGGGCGGAGGCTGTGTGTGTGTGTGTGTGTGTGTGTGTGTGTGTGTGTGTGTGTGTGTATGCATTCCTTCCACCTGGACCACTGATTGCTTAGTTGAGAAACAGCTGAGGGCCTACTGGGAGCCTCAAACAAAAGGCAAGCCAAGCCAGTGGCTGGTAGGGCGCTCCTAGCCATCCCTGGTGGAGTTAGTGCCATTTCAGAGATGGAGAAATTGAGGCCTCTGAGGAGCCAGGTGACCAATAGATATCTCAGTCCCTCTCAGACCCCCTAATGTGTTTCACTGGGGACCAGAGGATATGTTCATGCCTGTGGTCACACAGCCAGGGAGCGGCAAGTGACGGAGGGCAGTGGATTCCTGCAGTCAGGATGGGGGTGGGAGCATGGGCAGTGAGGAGGGGTAATTGGGCTGAGATTCTTTTGCCCTGCCATCTCTAGTCCCCTTGGATAGACACTTAGTCCCAATCTGATGAGGGATCCCTGGTGTGCCCAGTGTTGCCCTGTCTTCCAAGAAGAGGCTTCAGAGAGACTGGGTGGGAGCAAGGGTGGCAGGAACCCCAGGAGCAAAAGGCTGTAGCTGCTCAGGGTGGGAGAATCTGCCCAGCCCAGGATGCATGAGGGTGTCTGACCACGAGGGAGTACCCTTGGCCTGGCCAGAAAAGGACAGCTTATAAGAGGGGAGAGTGGGTAAAAGAGAGAGAAGCTAGTGTTGGAGGGGATCATCTCGACGGCCAGCCTACGGATCCCATGTGGTCCAAGGAAAGAAGGGCTTCATCATGGGGAGGTGAACAGGGGCCATGGGGTCCTTAGGCCTGTCTGGGGTGGAACCCCAGTTTCTCTTCCTGTTGGGTATGTGTGTTCCCATACAGATCAATTTATTGACAAGAACAGTTCTCCAGTGGGCTTGTGGGTGGGAAATTTTTGTGTGTATAGACAACTCTTGGGAGACAACTCCTGGGAGCTGTGAGGATGTGTGAGCGAGGCTCACCTCCTGGCCGTTACCTCAGCTCCACCACAAGCCCTTGCCCCAGCTCCAGCTGCTGTGCCCCCCCCCAGGAGCTCCTGTTATTGTATAGAGGCCCAGGGGACAATGGCCTGGGAGGTCAGGAGTTGAGGCCAGAGGATGGCTGTGAACAGGCTCTCAGAGACTTCGACACAGAACTTAATGACCCAGGGCCTATGGGGAGAGGGGCCTCCCTGGGAGGAGGGAATCACACCACCGGCTGCTTCAGGATTCACTCCTGGCTCCCGCAGGCTGCCTGGCAGAGCCAAGGCTGAGCTTGGTGCTGATGGAGGCGGCAGCAGCTTCTTCAGGCCATGCACCCTCCCCATCTGTGTGACCACAGGATCCTCATCTGTCAGGTGGGCCAGAGTCCACCTGAGAGGAAGGCTGTGAGG